TGAGAAAATAATTAACATAGTGAGTTTACCATTTTACCCCTATTAATTGATAAAATTCCAAAATCAATTTACTCATTTAAGAGGTTCTATCTTTTTCAAAAACATTAACTCTCTATATAAATTGAGGGCGTAATAGGTAAAAATATTATCTTTTCTTGATTTGTCAAAAATAGCAAGTAAAAACGGACAAGTAAAAAATCAAAATTGGACGAGTAAAACGAGATAGAAGGAATATTAAATACTATTCAATATCTAATACATTTCTCAAAGTATTAAATTTTATATATTTAAAAGATACTCCATAGTATTACCCCTATTATTTAATATTTCTTAAGGTGTATGTCAAATTTGTTGGACAAAAAAACTACAAAAAACTAATGAAATTTAATATACCAAATATTCAAATATAAAAAATAATTTCTACTAATTTTTGTCGAACAAAATTCAATAATAAACCTCTTGCGATATCCTAGCTTTATTGAACCACGCAATAATGCTGAGAAGTCAACTTTCCACTTGTAAGTGTACTAACCGTGGAGGTCAATAATAGAATTAAAAATGAATTCTTATTCTTGAGTTTTTTTTTTTCAGTTTTTAAAAATAAATTAAACTATTGATGGTGACAATTCTATTTGAAAAATGAAAAGAACTGAAAAAATAATAATCTAGCAAGTAGGGAAGAATGGTTGTAGATTGTGCAAAAATCATTGTCTTGACTCTTGTAATGAAGTGGGACTTGAATTAGGTTAATCATTGGACAGTTGTAATAAATAAAAAATAAAAAATGATGGCTCATAGAATGATATATAAAAGATATTTTCTTTTTAAGATATTAAATTTCTTGAAAATGAAAAAAAATGAATTTTCCTAGCGAAAGTAGAGAATTATTCAAAAGTGATTGTCCATATTATTGTATTATTCTCGCCTTTCAATATATCTCATCTTAACTCCCACCTATCGTTGCCTCTATACCCACCATCCAATGCCCCTATCCAAAACTCAACATTTCATAATATTTATCTAAATTATATACAAAAAAAAAAATCATATATTTCTTACTTATACAGAACACAAAAAATTAAATAAGCAAAAAAATCCACTTATTTTTTTAAAAAATATTTTTTTGAGAAATCATTTTTTATGATGAAAAATATTTTTGCCTCCTACCGAACACATAGTTATTTCATACTTTCTTGTAAAGCTACTTACATTAATACGTCCTCCAATCTCTTCTAATTAATATTTTTTTACGAGATGGATAAAAGAGAAACACAACAAAAAATTGAGATGGAAGGAAAATACAAATTAGTACTGAATTTTGTGTAAGAGTTAAGGAAAAATTGTAATTGGAACTAGGGATCTTTACCCACACATTACTCTTTAAAGCGATACTTCGAAAAAGTTACCTAACATAGCGAAATTATATAATTTTATACTTCCTCCATCTCATTTTATAGTATGTTATCCTTTTCTATAAATAGGTGGACCACAATACTTGTCATTTTATAAAATCTATGCATAAATCACCATATTTTGCCTATTATACCCTTGATAGAGTAGTTAATTAACCTTAAAAATGAATTCATCATTTATTATAAAGTTGACTTAGAAAATATTAAATAAGGGTAGAAGGGTAAAGTTATATCATTTCTTAATGCAAGTGCAAAGTAAAAATGTGACATATAAAATGGGACAGAGGGAGTAACATATATATATATATATATATTAAGAATATTTTTCAATGAGATATTGTATGTGCATAAATACATATATTCTATTACATTTGAAATTAGAGTATTATTACATTTTGAAATATAGAAAAATCTCACTATTTTTCTATAAAAATAAATGATAAAAGTTATTTACAGAACTTTCTTAAAATTAAATCTTCTCCGACCCAATCCAAATGTCCCTTCGTTACAAACTTTAGTTTTCCAATATGCATCACGTGTGGATATTGCGCCAACAATGAACTAACTTTAGTACTTTCATCGTCTCAAAAAATGTTTAAAAAATAAGTGTTACTTCAAATTTTAAGAAAAAAATAATATTTTTCTTTTCAATATGCATCACGTGTGGATATTGCGCCAACAATAACCTAACCTTAGTACTTCCACTATCTCAAAATAAGTCTTAAAAAAAAATCAAAAATAAGTATTACTTTAAAAAATATTTTTAAAAAAATATTATGTTTTTCAATTATACATTTATATTTTATTTTATTTTATTAATAGTACTTAAATTTTAAGAAATATGAATATGATTTTTATTATGATAACACTTATTTTAAAACGGAGAAAAGATCTGATAAATTGTAGCACGGACCAAATGATTAATGATCAGTCTCTGCTATCTCTTTTTTCAGTTAATGGACAGTTTCTTGGAATTAAAAAAGAAGACAAGGAAGATACACTAACTTTTTCTTTGATATATATGGAAAAAAAGTTGTACAAAACAGTCTTCAAGTGTCACAATGAGCTTTACTCATATATTCACACTTAATAATTATTAGTGGATATGTCACTTTCTTCCCTTTTGTTGTGTATTTCAATAGTTTAGCTAGAGCTTATTATGAGTGATCTCTTTTTGTAAGCGATGGATAAACTTCCACATTTATATGTGTTGTGTGGCTAGTTGTTTTCAAGGTCTTAAAAAGTTAGAAAGAATGATGACATGTGCCTAACTATTAATTCATCATGCACACCAAAATCCATTTTGAATAATTGTGGTGTCTGAACACCTTGACTAATTTCACAAAATATTTAAATTATTGATCTGATTAATTTATTCATATTTGCACTATGTAAATCCAGATCAAGAAAAAACACTCCAACATGGAGTTTCTACATTGAAGGTGTTTGAATTGGCTTAAAAGTTGGTCAAACCTACTTTTAAGTCAGTTTTTGACTTCTGAAAGTGTTTGACAAATATAAAAAATAACTTAAAATAAGTCAAAAATGACTTAAAATAAGTTGAGAAATGTTTGACAAGAATGACTTAAAATAAGTTTAAAATGACTTAAAATAAGTCAAAAACCAAAAGTAGGTCTCCCCCTACTTTTTATTTTTTTGACTTAAAAGTCATTTCAGTTTGATTTTTTTATTTTTAACTTAAAAGCTACTTTTTTTAAGTCAATCCAAACGGGCCCTTACTGTTGTTGTGACATCCTTGACAGATTGAGTGATTGATGAAGTTGATTCAAGTAGGATTAATAGAATTTTAAGTTGGTAAATTTCTAAAGATGAAGTGTAAGCACATAACATCAGAGGTGTAGCTATGTGGGTATTCGTGGGTTCGGAAGAATCCAGTAATTTTTCCGTAGATTCTGTATTTGTATAAGAAAATTAAATAAATATATATGTATATTAACTTGTGAACCTCCTAACAAAATTGATTGACGGCTCAATGGTTAGGAAAAGACCATGGATGGAAATGCTTTACACACTAGTGTTTTAAGTTTGAAAATATTCTTCTTTTCTATCCTAAAATTTAGAACTCTCAATCATGACTCCATCTCTGCGCATAACATCTTAGGTTATTACATCATAATGAAAAAGGAAAGTAAGAGGCTTTATTAGATATAGTTACTTGAATTCATATGTTGTGCATATTTTTTTATCTAGTTCGATAATAATATATCTAAAAAAATAAGTTTGTGAAGCATATTGAATCAAAGTGAACAATACATGTTATAAGCTTGAATTATTAAAATCATTGCATTCCCAGAGTCATCAACAACTAAGAAATGCGCATTTTAGTGGAACTACTTTTTTAAAGTAATTAATTTTACATATGCTAACTAAATTATATTCATTTAACAATAAAGTTATAAAATTATAATTTATCATATTAAAATAACTTAACTTTATTCCTTGTAATGAAATGATTGGTGTGCTTTGTATCAAAAAGTTCGTACCTCGTACGTTACGAGAAGTGGAAAAAGGGTTAAAAAAACCATTTAAATTGTGATTTGTGAGTTAGATAGGAAAAAAAACATTATTTTGACCACACTATCACACTGGAATATGCTTGTGTGTTCACATTATAAGTTGCCAATTTTATTTATAACTCCTAAATCATTATTTATATTTGTTATTAATATTTTATTAATTATTATATTCAAGTAAATTTAAATTTTATTTATTTATTTTTTTAAAATAATTTGCATATATTTTTAAAATGACAATCAAAACTCAAAACACTTAAGACATGGTAGATATCAATCTATTATAAAAACAGAAAATGGTTAAAAATACCTTTAACGTATTGGAAATGACTCAAAAATGCTCTCCTTTTATCTATTGGATAAAAAATGCCCTCCAATTAACCTATTTAGATTTTAAAAAATGCCCTTAACTTTAAAACCAAAAATTACCCCTCTTTTAACAGAAACTGATGTGACATGAATAATTATTTTAATAATATATGTGACATTATTTTTATTGGTCCACAACTCCACGTATAAATGAAATTAGACCCAATTAATTAACCCATTAATCACAATCGTATCCATTAACCCAAATCCATTTCTAGAAGACCCAACAACCAAAATATAATGTTTTAATTTAATTTATAAATATTTTTTAATTTTTAACATATAATTTCAATTTTGAACTTAAAATTTGAATAGTATAATAAGTTTTAAGACCATAATATTATTTAGTTTTGTATTGATTTATGATTGTAAAATTCATAACTTAATTTTTATTTTTAATTAATTAATGCTCAAGAAATATATTACCTAATTGATTTTTTTTTTGTCAACTTTAATTAATCACCAAATGTAGGCATTACAAATCAGTGGTCAGGTTAAACGCAACCTGCCATCTTACCTAGAATGAAACTTAGAAGGAGCTATCAAACAGAGGCTAAAACTTAAAATCTTGGACAATACACCTGATTTTAGGAGGAGCTCTAACACATGAAACATAGTCTATCTCCTTTGCAATTGATTCCCATTCCCTACCTCTCTTTTCGAATATGCGAAAGTTCCTCTCCATTCAAATGGCGTAGATAGTCTCGGAATACACCATTTTGAAAATCTGAGCTCCTTGGGAGTGCCCCTTAGAATTTGCTATCATCCAATCCAAATGTTGGTCCCAAGTAGAAATTGTACAGTGTTGTACTGTTGTCCAGCTTTCCATCTTGATCCATATCTGCTTAGCATAGTCGCAATGCACAAATAAATGTTCTTTGATTTCCTCATGCTTACAACAGAGTGGACATTTTGAATCAATCTGCATTCTCCATTTAAGCAATCTATCAGTTGTTAACAGTCTTCCCCACATGAGCAGCCAAGTAGTGAATATAGCCTTAGGCCTTGCTGCATTCTTGTACATTATTGACTTCCAGGATATTCTAGGGCATATCTTTAGATTAGCATAATATATCTCCCTGCCCACAAATAACTCCTACAATGTGCATCAATAAAATGTAAAACTTTAGCTGGTATGGAGAATAGTTGTGCCCAATAGGCTTGGATGCCAAAAATTACTGATTTAATGATTTAATTGATTTTCTCTTAGTATATATTGGACCATTTATATATTTTTTAATTGTAAAAAGTTGAAAACACTCTACGATAAGAACTTAAATACAAAATTTAAAACGTTTTAAGTTTCTTTAAATATATCGTAATAACCATTCTAATATGTAGGCATAAACTCACATTCATAAAACTATATAAGAAAATAATAATTTAATTGGTATAGCAATTAAACAAGAAACCTTGATTTTTTACAAACAAAAAAAAGAATTTTTTTATTACTATATTGATGTATTCCAATCATATAATGATCACCGTATGATGGTGATACCTTTATATTGATGAATCTAATGCACCAAGAATAATAAACTCTTGATATTCTTACCCGCCATAAAATTTATATTATATTTGACTTTTTGAGAATGGTCAAATTTTAACATTATTTTAAAGAGAAAAGGTTATTAAAGTCTTTAAAGGATCATATTAAAAAAAATAAAAAAAATATTCATATGTTTTAACGTCTTCAAGTCTAGATATCATGTATTAAAATTGTGATCGAGTTGTACCGATTTCAGTTTTTTTAAAAAGGTAAAAACCTTAGAGAATAAATTTAGTTCCAAGTTAAAGGTAATTCGAGGGAAATTCAACAATCTAAGTAGATTTTGCAAATTAATTGTAAGAAATAGATAAAGTAATCTGATACATCACTTATATTATTAGGTCGTGCAAATATATCACTTCACTTGAAAAATTAGTAAAGAAAACAACAAATCAAATGACGCTATTTTTTTAATAAGCTAAGGTTGATTAAACACCAAACAAGATATTAGGTGTGGTTGCTAATAAAATAATGATAGCATCCCTATTGTCATTACTCATTATGTCCATTTAACTTTTATTTAGTCTTATAATTATAATTTTTTAAAGGAAAAAGGATAAAAAATGCTCTTAAACTATGGGAAAGGAAAAAAATGTCCCTCCGTTTGTAGTTTGCTTTAAAAATGCCTTTTTCGTCAATATTTTAGTCCAAAAATGCCCTTATTATTATTTAATGGGTCAAAAATGCTCATTTTCTAAATAAATATATTATTTATTTTCTTTTTAACACATTCTTTTTCTAATAATATTTTTTAAAATTAACAAATGTTTATCTTATTTCAATTTAGAAAAAAATGAAAATATTTCTTATTTTATTATAAATTTTTTTTATAAATATAAATTAATGATGGTTATATTATGATCTTATGAATATGACATATATTATTTGTCGAAATGATACATGAAGTTATTCTATTTTAATTGATAAAATGAGATTAAGAAAAAAAAATATTTACTAATTTTTTATTTGTTAAAGTGATTTTAAAAGAAAGAAAACAAGAACATGATTCTTTAATAATATTTTAATTAAGAAGAAGATGTGTTTAAAAAGAAAAATAATAATATACTTATTCAGAAAATGACATTTTTGACCCATTTAGTAACTATATGGGCATTTTTAGACCAAAGTATTGATTGTAAGGGAATTTTTGAACCAAAGTATTGACGGCAATGACATTTTTGAGTCAAATTATAAACGAATGATATTTTTGTTCCTTTCACATAGTTTAAGGGAATTTTTTATCCTTTCCTTTTTTAAATAATAAACTTGAACTCAAAACCTAATTATTATTTTCTTGGAAATAGAAAAATAACGTGTATAACCTTAACAGTGTCCTTAACCAATCATTGTATCCTATGGTTCTCTCTCTCTCTATTTTTTTTTTTTATAACTTACATAAATCACATAGTGTAAAGAGTAAATTACATCATATCCCTACTTTTTTTCTAATTACAATAATCCCTTAAAATTTATATCTTCCGGATACATAAGTTCCCATCCGGATATATTAATTCTAATAATACAAGAAAAAAAATTGTTGAACTAAAAAGGGAATAAAATCTGAAAATTAATTAAATCCCATAAATTACGCTTATGTTTATTCTTACTCTCAATCATACATAGGAAAATCCTAATAGAATGAAGAAATTCAAATTTTCAAATTGTTCTCCCCGTTCAACAAAGAAACCTTTCAGATTTGATTCAAAAACTTTTGTCGAAATTTTGGATAAGCTAGGTGAGTTATGAAGGATACAAAAGTGATGGAATTGTTGTTGGACAAACGATATCCTTTTGAATCTTCAAGTTCATAGATCCTTTCAATTTTGATTCAAGATTATCAAAAAAATTGAGATTCAAAATTCTATCTTCTCTCAGTTCAGCAAAGATCCTTTCAATTTTGAATCAAAATTGTTGAAAATTTTGAGATATAAAATTCTTCTCCTAGTTTATTGAAGATCCATTGTCGAAAAAATTGAGAAGATACATCATGAATACCTTTGCTACTTAGCATTTTATATACTATTTATGTATCTTGTTTAAATTGATAAGTATTGTATTTATACTAGATACATTAATAAATAATTGTTGTCATAAGATGTTAGATTTGAGATCGATACATTACTATGTGGTAGTTGTTATGTAATTGATACATTTAGTATAAATTCGAATTTACGTATCATATCTAAAAATTAGTACATGATACATTACTATTTATGTATGTCGTTTAATTTGATAAGTATTGTATTTATACTAGATACATTAAATAAGTAATTGTTGCCCATAAGATGTTAGATTTGAGATCGATACATTACCTTGTGTTGGTTGCTATGTAAATTGATACATTTAGTATAAATTAGAATTAACGTATATATCATATCTAAAAAAATTAGTGCATGATACAATATTATTATGTATCTCGTTTAAATTGATAAGTATTGTATAGTTTGCCTTGAAAGATTCGTATAACTTACATAATGTATCATTTTGTAGTTGATAATAATGTATTTGATACAATTAGGTTGTGAAAGAAGGAGGTATGTAAGCTGAAATAAAGTGTATCTATAAATGTATCACAATAAATAAGAATTAAGTTATCAATTAGATACATGAACAAACACGGATTTGGCTCCCCTCCATTACAATTTCCATCCATTTCGTCAAGTACACTTCTAGATGAGAGACATGTGTCTTATTCAATTTTTAAAGGTCAAGATTATATTAAGAAGTATTATAACCATAGTTAAGTTAACAAATTTTGGTAAACTATTCTCCAAATTTGATAAGAACAAGATATTCCACATAAAATTTAATATCCATTAATATCATTATTTTCATCTTATATTTTTTTTAAAACATATTAAACTATACTATCTTTAAGATGAGAATCGACCAAAAAAAATTGTGGCAATAAATTTTATACTTGAAATATTATGTTGAGAAACAATAAAGAAGGTAATTTTTTTTTATCAATATTGACAAAAATTATAAAATAAAAGAAAGGGAAATAAAAATAATAATAACAAAAAAAAAAGACGAGATATTATCAAGATTACAAATGTGAAATATCAAAATTTTAAAGTTTAGGAGAAAGTGTGGCTGTTGTGTTTGAAGAAGGAAAAAAATGAAATATCTATGTTTTTAAAAAATATTATTTTATCTACTTCGGTTTTTTTTTTTTTTTTTTTGTGAAATTTTTGAAAACATATTTAAAGCCAAAATATTTTCGAAGACTGTTATTTATCAGGCTAAATAAAAATAGAGATTTGTGGAGTGAAATAAGGAAGGAATAAATATTAATTTTGGGAGTTAGGATTTATGTATCCAGGGTTTGGGAGTAAAATAAGGGATTTTGGAAAAAATTAGAATTGGTAGGGAATAATGAGAATTATGGGGGAAAAGACGTGTATATAGGTAATTTATCCTCTCTTTTTTTTACGGAATTCATAAATGTCACGATCTGCTGGTGTCAAAAGGTGTAGAATTATATACATTAATACTTATATTACCACAGAACCACAAGAATCCTTAGTTGAATGGGATTCCAACTCAGCACTTTTTGAGTGAGATTTTGAGAAGAGTTGCTCTTTGGAGAGCACAGTACGATGAAAGTTGTAAGCTGTGTTTGGGGGGGAGTTATTGTCTATCGTTGGCCTCGTACTAGCACGGGCCCAATATTTGATATTTTTTTGTCTCAATTTATGTGACAGATAGAATTTAGATAGTTAATTAAATTTTAATATGATTTTTAAATATTTTAAGTTGTTAATTATTGTAATTCATAGTATTTTTACTTAATTTTTAAATAATATATATTACTTCTCTTGTCCCAATGTATGTAGCACATATAGAATTTCAAGAGTCAATCAAATGTTGTTAATTATTGAGATTTACAATAATTTCTACGTAGTTTTCAAATTAAATATTACATGTTACTTCTTTTGATTATTGTAATTTATATTAGTATTTTTACGTAATTTTTTAATAATATATGTTACTTCTCTTATCCCAATGTATGTAGCACAAATAGAATTTCAAGAGTCAATCAAATGTTGTTAATTATTGAGATTTACAATACTTTCTACGCAATTTTCAAAATAATACATGTTACTTTTTTTATCCCATTTTATGTGACACAGATAAATTAATTTTATGAATCAATCGAATTTTTTATATGTTTTGTACACATATTTTAAGTTGGCAATTATCATGATTTATAGTATTTTTTACATAAATTTTAAATATTTTAAAAATTAAAAACAAGTCAAACAAATTAAAACGGAAGAACCACCGAAAAAGAAAAAATAGTGCAGCTGCCAGGTAGGTATGTCGACCATGACCTGCCTGGTTATTGTCACTTATATATATGTAGTAGATATACATAATTTTGTATAGGAAAAAACCTTTCAACCAGAAAATTTGACCAAAATAGTATTTTACCTATGTTATTTTATCTTTTCGAACATTTTTATCCTTTT